TGCCGAGCTGAAGTACACAAAGAGGGCCCGTGCATACGTCCCTGGGGAGTCGAGGTGTTGCAGGATGTAAGTGTCATGTTAATTGCATCATCCACTGACCTGTTTGCCCGGTAGGCGAACTGAAGTTTCTAGCAGGGGGTCTACAGTGTCCTTCAGGTGGGCCAACACCAGTCTTTCAAAGCACTTCATAACTACAGATGCCAGGGTGACAAGTCTGTAGTCGTTCAGTCCACTGATGGAGGTTTTCTTGGGGACTGGAATGATGGAGCATTTGAAGCAGGAGGGGACTTCACACAGCTCTAGTGACCTGTTGAAGATGAGTGTGAAGATGGGGGCCAGTTGATCAGCACACACTTTCAGGCAAGAGGGGGTCACGCCATCTGGGCCTGGTGCCTTTCTGATCCTTTGTTTTTTAAAGACGCCACGCACATCCTTTACACTTCCTTTTCCTATAGCCAGTTCTTTTCAGGCTTCTCCACACAGACAACAGGTAGCTCCTCTTTGCTGCTCTGATCTCCCTTGTCAGTGTGTTCCTGGCCTGGCTGTACAGAGTCCTGTCCCTACTTCTGTAAGCCTCCTCTTTGGCACGATGAAGCTGCTTGAGTCTGGCTGTAAACCAGGGCTTGTTGTTGTTGTATGTGCAAAAGGACTTTTTGGGCACACACACATCCTCACAGAAGCTGATATAAGATGTCACAGTGTCAGTGAGTTCGTCCAGGTCTGTAGCTGCATTCTCAAATACACTCCAGTCTGTTCAGTCAAAGCAGGCCTGTAGCTCTAACTTAGCCTCCTCAGTCCAGAGCATTTCACTGTTTTGACCACAGGCTTCGCAGCTTTAAGTTTCTATCTATAGGTTGGGCCAATAAAGGTGATTATCCTTATCCTTAATTACAGTGAGTTAGCAGTTAAAAGTTCTTTTTTGTTTTTAAATTCCAGCTTTGTGTAACGTTAGTACTTTGTGTGACATGAGCAGTAACCAGGGTGTTCTATTGGACTGACAAATTTCCTCACTAGTCAGCTAACCCTATCCAAAGTAGAGATACGACACTGCTGTAAACAAATCTGGTAGGCAGTACAGGTCAGGTAGTGACACTGCCAAACTGTTTCTTCCTTCTAGCTTAATACCTCAATCATCAATTACACTCATCAGCCACTTTATTAGGTACACCTGTACAATTGTATGCAATTTACTGCAACGCTTCTGTGTTTATGAAGCTCTCTGTTTCAGTTGTTGGTGAAATTGTCATAAATGTATAAATTCAATTATACAGTATGTTTTATTATTGAGGTCATAGTTAAAGGTGGTGTTATACATTTATGACAGTTTCACCAAAAACCGAACCATTTTGAGCTTCATAAACACAAATGTTTAGGCAGACGTGTTGCACTGGATGGCAAACAATTGCACAGGTGTACTTAATAAAGTAGCCGGTAAATAAATACTTACATATAATAGGAGAAATTAGGAATAAGGCCCTGGTTCTCCCTGCTATTGCTGCACTAATTGAGAGTTTAGTATTCTCATTTTAGTCATACTGTATTTAGCAATTAATTGAGTACTGTAAACAAAAATGGGTAAATCGTAATATTCTATATTTTAGGCCTAACATGACACAGCACTGAGAAAAATCTGCTTTTCCTGGCTGTAAAAGCTTACTAAGAGAAAAACAAAATTAACAGCAGACACTTCTTTGAAGCTTGTGTTGTCAGCAGCTCTTTTGTTCTCAGGATTAAATGGCTGACTGAACAATGAATTAAATGTGCCTCATGTAACTGCCAGTATTTGTACCTTGAAGTTGATTTGCTGGGCCAATTCTTGGGCCTGGTGGTCCTTGGAAATGGGGCTGCTGTTGGGTGTCAGAGCCTGGAGGGCAGAGCGCATGGAGCAACCACAGGTCTCACAGCAAAAGTCCTGAGACCTGCAGAAGAACAGGCAGGGAGGTCATCCATATGGTGAGCCTCTGATTCTGCACTTTAAACATTAAAAAGTCACTCATGACAGCGCCAGACCCTCTGATGAATAATCAGGCCCTTCTATGAGTGAACAACTTGCTTCAGAAATGAAAATATTACTGAGTACAACAACAGTGGTTCAATAACAAAATAAATGACCTGTAAAGTATGAACAGCATCCAGTGTTAATGTTTTGGCTCACTTGTCACAGTACATCAGGTTTACCTGCCAAATTAACACAAAATGAGCCTGCCAAGGCTTTTTACCAGCCAGCTTGTACAATAATGAAAACCTTTCACTGAAATATATCATTATGTATATGCAATTACATGGTGGGGAATGCATCATGAGGTTCATTAGGCTGTAGTAGAATACAGACAGAATACAGACATATTCCATGACATTCTATCGTAAATGCACACTGGGCCTCATGCAAGAACATTTTCATATTCTTGTTCTAATTTCCTCTGTTTTCCCCATTTTTCTTGTTCATATGAGTGTTCCAAGTTGGATCCATCAAGCTGTCGTAACTGCAGAAACTTGTCATAAATCACTTGTTTCAGACAAACTCATGAAAAGGTGAGTGTTCATGAGATTTGATCTTTAACATAATCCTATCTCCATAAAATTGCCCTGTTCTGTTTTATTAGTGGGAAAGTTTCACTTACAAAATGTCATATAAGAGTAAAAAGACGAATTTCAGTGTGAGCTTCAAGTCAGCTGTCAGAAATCAGCAAACTAAAATGTCATTATTCATCTTATGTGTCACTGACATCATCAGAACAGCTGTATTATGACTGAAATACAGAGGGAATGGTTCAAGTTGCATGAAGTGAAATAGTGAAAATAATCTTTCTATAGAAAACCACTCCATGACAATTATGAGAGGCAGTCAAGGGGCTGACAGTCACTGAAATGTAAGTATAGGGCTTGCTTGCCCCACTATATGCTGTTTTGCAGAGTCTGCCTTACGCAAGTTTTTGAGAGTGTAAAGTTGGAATTTATTTATTTACAATATTTATAGTCTACAGGGTAGGTTGACAGAGCATACATTTACAGTAATGCCTTGTTTACAATTAAACAGAAAAGCAACAGAAAAAGTTTTAGAAGCAATTGCAAGCAGGAAGAAAAAGATTGATGAGATTGATCTTGAAATTACAATGAGGTGTTAGTGTTTTCATTTTTAACTGACGTTGCAGATTATTCCATGAGGTTTTTGCATTAATAGAATGCTGTCTTTCCTAAATCAGTTCTCGTTAGAGGTACCTGAAGTGTCAAGTAATCACAAAAGTGTGTTGAGTATGGACAGAGACACACCAAGCCAACATCAAAGAACTAGCAGCAACAAAGTCTGACTGTTGCATTGCCTCATGTTGCCTCTGTCTGGGCCAGCCAGGTTGAAACGGTGACACTTGAACAGACTGCACAGACTAGAGCAAACGGCCGACTAGCTGCATATTCTGAAATAACACTCCCTACCAGCAGGTGGTGCTAGTCTGTATTTGCCATTCAGAAAGGTAAAGAGGAAGACCTAGACTGTGGAAATACATACAAGCTGTAAACAAAGCAGCTCTTGTTGACCACAGCTGCTGTTTATAGCTGATTCCAATGTCTGATAAGAAACTGCAAACTGCTCAAGTAAAAATAATTTATATAGCACTTTAATTAAAGACAACCACTTGTTGACCAAAGTACTTCATAAACATAAAGATAAAGTAAAATAAAGAGAAACAAACCTAGAGAATAAAACATAAGAAGAAATATGTCCACTATGAGCCAGAGGCCATGGAAAATAAATAAGTCTTTAGCAGTGACTTAAAAACTGGTAGATCTGAGGCAGCTCTAATATTAACAGGTAAACTTCCACAGTTTTGGGGCCATTACAGCAAAAGTGCAACCACCCCAGCCGTTGGTACCTGAGTTGAGGACCTAAGGGATCTAACTGGCTTTTACCACTGCAGGAGTTCACCAAGGTATTAAGTGTCTTATAAACAAAAACAAGGAAGAAGAAGAAAGGAAATGGAAGAAGAAAGGAAGTGACAGAGGTGAAAAATAAGGAGAAACTGAATTAAATGGGTAAAATGATGGCTTCTACAGGGGTAAGCTCAAGGGGTTTTGCCAAACTGTTCTCTTCTTGTGTATTTATTCACTAAGCTGAACAGTCAATCAGAGTGGTCTCTCTCACTGACGAGGTCCACAGCCAATACAACATGCTGAATTTCACTGACAGGGTCCAAGTAGTGCCAACAGTACAGGACCCACCACAAAGACAAGGGTGACAGACACTCACCTGACCACCTGAATACAGTGGGTTTCTAGTTTCTACATTAATTTTGCCAGATTTTCTGGTTTCTTTTCCTTTTTTTAAAGTTATAAATGCTTTATTGTCTTTTCTTCTGTACATAACAGAGGAAAAGAGCTTGGAAACATGACCATCAGTTAGGCCCTCTATACCCTTGCACTATAAATAACTTTAAATAACTAATATCATAATATGTGAAATAACAGCAAGTCTCTTAAAATGTGCACTTGGGTGTCAGGAACAACTGACATTTTTCATATTTATTTATGAGACTTCCTAGACCTCCATGGAACCCCATGTGCTTGTCCTGCATCATCACAAGCTGGCCAGCATTTTTAGCAGTTTACATGTCAGTCATAAACTCTGCAACCATAAACCTGGCAAAAATACTAGAGCACAGGGGCCCTTCTCTGACTGTCAGCTCTCACATCCACCAGGGGCACAGAAACAGGCGATAAAAAAGCACAGACAAGTGCTGCCTTAGAATAAAGGAAATAAAAGGTTTTCCATCAGGGAGATAAGCAGCCATATATTTATAGGCAAAGCGTGTCTTCCTGTCTATCTCATCTTCATGTGCTAATGAAAAAGCCTGCTGATCAAGACCCTGTCTCATCTGCTAATAGAAAAGCCAACTTTAGCTGGATCCACTCCCTCTCTGGCTTTGTACCATTTTCTCTGAGGGAAATGCAATGCGCCCACTCATGCTCCCTCCAGAGGCCAGATATTTTGGTGATAATGAATTCGTCATCTTACAATTGCAGGCCTGGTTTGGGCGTGCTCTTTTCCATTTGTGACTAGGAAGATGGCATGTCCACCGAGGCACAGGTGCTGATTAAATCATGTTTGTATGAAGTTTGCTGTGTTAATGCCATCTGACCAGCATGCATGTAATGTTGCTACTGACTGTATCCTCAGCCTGTGTGCTTTCAAATCCCACATGCAAGATTATCCTATCTATACGATACACACTGTTCCAAAACACTCCACACACTCACCTCCTTATCACTCTCTGTCTATTGCACTGCATACACAACACATGCTCTGCAGAGAGTAAACATTGGAAAGACTTTTATCCAGCAAATCTTACTTTTTGGCAAGGGCCCTCCTCTCCTCTGGGGTATAATCAAGAGATCCTATTGCTCCCTCTCCTTTTGTTGGCATGAATCCAATTATAGCTATTAGGGCAGTTCGGACTGGAACAGACACAGACAGAAAGAGAAAAAGAACAGTTAAGAACAAAACAGACAAGGTTAAATTACATGACAGGCTGTATATGTCATCATGTCCAATACCCCTGTTACATAAGTCAAAATGATGCTTTGTTTTCTGGGCATAAGCCTGGATTTACCCCCGTGTTCGTGAGGACAACCACCATGACTCTGTACTCACAAATTCTCCATCTGTCAGGAAGAACATTTTACAGTATGGTCAGGGGTTTGTTCAGGACTCCTTTATGACTGGCTGTCTGATCCAATATAATGAACAAAGCCTCTGGAAGTCCATTATATCCATCTTAAAAAGATAAGCGTAGTGTAGAGGGGGGTTTTTTGCATCAGATTTAACTGTACAAACGTTAACACTGACAACATCGCATGTGTACCATTCCAAAGGTTTTGAATATGCACTCCAGCAAATCATTTATGTTTACACTGTTTTGGCTGATTATCAACAGCAATTTCACAATGAATGCAAATGTGCATAGTTTTTAAATACATTTTTCCTACCTGTTAAGGGCTCATTGGTTTCACTTAATTTTAGTACACTATCAAAATCAATGCGCTGAGACTTGAAACTCAAAACAGCTAATGCATCACAAAGAAACAAATGTATGCATTGTTTTTGTTAAGCTACCTAATTTTGGAGCTTTTATAAAGGTAAAACTGCAAAGTAATCTGTAAATCCTTCTTCATGGTGCTGTACACAGTGTAACCCATTTATAGTAAACATCACCAGAGGTATAGTGCTATTTGAAGAAGTACTGGAGCGTACCTATGATGCATGTGCATGGTAAAGTAGTGTTTTGTTTTAAGAGCCAGGTAAACACTTTTTCTATGGTGGGAACTGTAACTTCCCACACGATCAAATGTTAGACTGACCTTATTCTGTGATGTTAGTAGCCTTTGATAATCTTACTACTAGGGTGTAATCTCAACGGGGGACATGCCCCATCCAAAATATAAAAAATGGAAATCCCCCCCCAATATTTGTCATAACCAGTCATCAAACGTCTCCTAAATCTATTAAAGAAAATTTAATAACTTGCAGGGCTCGTGACAAGTTTGGCCATCCTGTGCCCTGCTTGTGTCATACAAACCTACAGCTGATCACTCACAGGTAAAACAGTCTGTTTAAATCCCAGCATCGCTTAAGTTAAATGTGATGTTTTTCTCCACGGCCCCTCCTGAAGATGGGTTTGTCAGTCTGGATGATCTGAATTTTGTTCTGTCACTCGTCTTTTGTAAATGGCGTCTGTAGTTGACACTAAACTGTCACTGTGAACTATGCACGTTACGTGGTTAAGCAAAACACACAAACACTCATTGGTGCCAATTGCGCATCAAAGTGTGCATTGTTTGAGTCAATATTGTGAATCAATCGGCACACCTTAAATTTTATTATCACAACTTAGAACATTCTATTATGTGTGGAAACAGATGATTCGCTGTGGCGACCCCTGACAGGAACAGCTGAAAGAAGAAGCAAAAACATTCTATTTTGCAGGACATACACTTTACTGATGACTGGATCTTCAAGCACTCACAATAGTGCATCTTTATGAATTTCAACCAGATTATACAACTAGGCCCATTCTTCATTGTTCTGGTGCATTCCGGCAGCACTACACCTATGGGCATCACCATGAGCACCTTTTAGTAACTACTGTACATCTTTTTTTTTTCCTTTTTTTTTTTTGCCATTATAGTGTATAAATTATGTTAACAAAGCTCGGCTCAGCTAACTTGGAATTTCTTATGGTTAAGTGTAGATCTTTTTATCTGCCCAGGAAGTTCACTTCCACTATAATAATTGCAACTTATATTGCCCTGGACCCCAACGCTAAGCTTGCTATGAACGAACTTCATGTGGCCATTATCAAACAACAGACTGCACACCCAGAGGCTGCATTTATTGTTGCGGGTGATTTTAATCACTCCAACCTAAAGTCAGTGCTTCCTAAATTCCACCAGCACATTTCCTGCCACACTAGAGGAAATAAAATTCTGGACCATGTTTACACAATCATGGCTGCTGCAAACAAACCTGTCCCATGGCCAAGCAGTTGTGCCGACATGCTTCAAAACTACCTCCATTGTGCCAGTGCTGAAACATTCCACCCCGACGCAACTGAATGACTACCGCCCTGTAGCACTCACACCTATTGTCATGAAGTGCTTCGAGTGCCTGGTCCTGGCACACCTAATGACGTGTCTTCCACCCACACTGGACCCCCATCAATTTGCCTACTGCAGGAATAGGAGCACGGAGGATATAGTCTCCATAGCACTGCACTCTGTACTCAGACATCTGGACAATAACAGTACTTATGCAAAAATACTGTTCGTAGACTTCAGCTCAGCATTTAACACGGTCATCCCCTCCAAATTAACCACCAAACCTTGTGACCTGAGCATCAGCACCTCCCTCTGCAACTGGATTCTGGACTTTCTGACCAACAGGCCTCAGCATGTTAGGTCAGACAACACCTGCTCCTCCACCATCATCCTCAACACCGGCGTACCACAGGGCTGCGTGCAAAGCCCACTCATCTTCTCCCTTTTCACCTACGACTGCAGGCCTGTGCATGGCTCCAACACAATCATCACGTTTGCAGACAACATCACGGTGACAACGATGGGAGGAGGTACAGCACCTGACTGTATGGTACAGTGATAATAACTTGCTCCTTAACACTAATAAGACCAAGAAGCTCATTGTTGACTACAGGGGAGAGAAAGCAGGCACACACAATCCCATCCATTTAAACGAGATGGTTGTTGAACGTGTCTCCAGCTTCAAATTCCTCACACATGTCAGAGGAGCTGTCCTGGACCACCAACACCTGTAGCCTGGTTAAGTAAACTCACCAGCACCTCTTCTTCCTGAGGACACTGAAGAAGAACCACCTGTCTTCACCCATCCTAGTGAACTTCTACTACTGTGCCATTGAGAGCATCCTGACCAGCTGTATCACAGTCTGGTATGGAAACTGCTCTGTCTCTGACCACAAGGCGTTGCAGCAGGTGGTGAAAACTGCCCAACGCATCACAGGGACTCTACTTCCAGCGACTGAGGGTGTCCATGGGGAATGCTGTCTCTGACGTGCTTGCAGCATTCTCAAGGACTCCTCTTACCCTACTCACAAATTGTTTGACCTCCTACCCTCTGGGAGGCGCTTCAGGAGCCTCCGGACCAAGACCAGTAGACTCAGGAACAGCTTCTTCCCCACAGCTGTCTCCTTACTGAACTCTGTCCCTCGTTGATGCCCACTGCCTTCTTCTATACCGCTACACACACCTCACCCTTTCTCTTCTCTCCTCCCGGGACTAATGCAATACACTTCTGTTACCTGTAACACTGAAGTGATTCGTTAATTTGCACAGTTTGCACATACTCACAGAATACTGCTCTGTTATTCATTTGCACACTGTTCACATGCTGATACTGTGTATTTATTTATCTTTGCACTATTTACATCCATTGAACTGTTAACTCATTTAACTTATCTTCCTATTCTGCACTATTTATTTCATTCTATTGCGCTAGTGTTTTATAGCTTAATGTACCTTATCCATTATTTGTAACTTAAATCCATAAAGTCTGTTGTATATTGTACATTACCTAACATCTTACTGTAAATATCAATTGTACATATCTATCTAAATTAGTACTGTCTGTACATACTGTGTACTCTTCACTGCTGTTATGCACTTCTGGTTAGATGCTAAACTGTATTTTGTTGCCTTGTACTTGTACATGTGTAATGACAGTAAAGTTGAATCTAATCTAATCTAATGAAATAAATTACAACAATAGTGAAATGACCTTCTTAGAAGCCATATGAGCCCATGCAGTGAGTCAAACTATTACAATTACAAGGTGGACATGAACTGAATGATGAATTAAGGAGCATCTGAATAATTCATTTTTGTTACCATTATGTATTTTATGGCAAATTTTAACATTTCCTTTACTGTAGCATCTTCACCACCAATCTGTATCCACTGGCTGTAAAATTCTCTGCATTGACAGTTATTAGACAGCACTTCCCCCTTTTCAGACTGAGATGATGATACTGACAGTGGAGTTCAGTGCTCTATACACCTTGTCAAATTATGCAATTGCTTCGTCTGAGATGAAAATTCATTGCATAAACAGACTTCATTGTCATTTGAATTAAGTAAGCAGAAAGTTAGTTGAGGCTGCTGCACATTTTACTTTCCTAACAACAGGAGGTCTGTTAAGTTAAGTCCCTTTGGTGCCAACCTTTCTAGTTTTCGAGTCTTCTTAGGTTCTGAAAAAATTGACTGTCTCTGTAAATGCTCTTCCTATTTGACAGTCTATGTGAATAACTAAAAAAAAAAAGGCATGTAGGCTCAACATTAAAATACAGTTTCTCTCATTTTCCATTACAAGCAGTGTTAACTACAAACAGATTAGGAAAACGCCTTGAGGAAAATTATATTAACATATAATAATCACCTTTATTTGGCAAAGTATGTTACACATGCAAGGAATTTGCTTCCGGTACAGAACCGAGGCAGCCATTTGCAGCGCCAACACCGATGGCTCCAACCATCGGGGGCAACTTGGGGGTTCAGTGTCTTGCCCAAGGACACGTCCACATGTGGAACTGCTGGCCCTGTGATTCGAACCTCCAACTCTCCAGTTGGGAGACGACCGCTCTACCCACTGAACCACAGACATTCATAAATAGGTATATTTTCATAAATGTAACTAAATAAATAGGAATACATAAAATATAAAATTCTAAATCTTCTCCAAGGCAACTTTGGAGGGAATGTTTGAATTACTTAGCCACACTTAATTAAACATGTAGACACAGCATGAGAACTAAAGCAGCAGCCAACAGTAGTGAGCATAGCCAGGGAATCACTACAGATGGCCTGCCTATGAGGTATGGAACGCAGCGTAATTATCCAGCCAGGCCTCCTGCGGTCATTCCAAACAAGCTGAGACACAACTTGCACTCAGCACTTAAAGAACACAGCAGGGAAAGTCAAATCTCTAAGGCATGGTCAGCCATGTGACCTGCCCTATATGTTGCTAAAAAGAGGCTTTTGATTGTCTTTGATTTAATTCTGTTATTGATTTAAATCTTTTTTTTGCTTATGAGTGGAAACCAGTAGGGAAAAGTGCTTTGAGGAAGATGCACGGTCTCCCACTGAGTTCTCTCTGATTAAAGCCCCAGGCTGAGAAGTAACATGAAAGCAGAACTCAGCAAAAGGATGGATCACCAGTAGAAAGCTAAAACAGGTCCTTGGTAGAAATAAATAAAAATAAATAAATTGGGAAACCCAGAAAAGAAATCATATCCAAGTCCACATAATTTATATTCATTTGGCGACTACTTTTTGTCATCTCTGTCATCACTTTTCAACACACTTTGAAGAGGTCCATGTTGTACAAGATACTGTAAACGGTCATACAACCAAGCCAAAGTCTCTGGTTAAATGTGTGATACTGTACATGTCAATTTGTCAGAGACTTTATTGCAACTACCACCATTCATTCACTTTAAACAGGCTTTATTTCAAATTTCCTGTTTTATGAAAATGTCATTTCTCATTTTAGTAAGAAGCCTGCCTGTTTTTAGCTCCGCCTCCTCACCTTACTTTGCTGTTTGTTATTAATATAAACTCAACACTTTATCCCAATTTACTTGTCTCAATTAATTCAACACTGTCTCCACTTCCATAGCATTAAATTAGAACATCAAGTCATGTCTTATTGTCATGCTCTGATTTTATTCCTTTAACTGAAAAATACTTTGCATTCTTTTCAGGAACTCACAACAGCAGCCTGATGAGTATAAAATGATGTTTGTACTGATGAAATTAGTGCTGTGAAAATGTACAGATAACTGTCTGTCAATGCTTTTTACACCCACCACTTTTATTTATTTGTGTGTGCTGGCCACAATTCCAGCTATTATATGAGACCCTGTCATTATCTGAACACTGGCTTTTCTAAGAGAATTCAAAATCCAATATTATGCAAATTTTCCCCCTCCCTAAAAGCCATTCTCCTCTGATTGGTCAGCTCCCATAGTGCTGAGCACGAACTGCCTACCAACTTCAGGCTGTGTTTCTGGAAAGGTTCGGTCTTCAACGTTAGCTCTGTTGAGCCTCTAAAGCCACCATTAGCCACATCCATCCATTATCTATACCACTTATTCCTGAATAGGAAGTAGATGACTGGAGCCTATCTCAGCTAACATTGGGCGAGAAGCAGGGTACACCCTGGGCAGGTCGCCAGTCTATCACATGGCTGATACTTAGAGACAGACAACCACACACACTAACACTCACTCCTAGGGGTAATTTAGAGTCGCCAGTCAACCTAAGCTGCATGTCTTTGGAGAGTGAGAGGAAGCCGGAGTATCCGGAGAGAACCCACACAGCACAGTGAGAACATGCAAGCTCCACACAGAAAGGCACTGGGTCAGCCAGGGGCTCAAACCTGGATCCTTCTTGCTGTGAGGCAACAGCGCTAGCCACCATGCTGCTGTGCCACCCACACCATTAAGACACATTTCTACCATAAATTTCACCAAAAACTAAACAACCACAGAGGTCTGAGCAGGTGCCTGGCCTTAAATCATGAAGAAATAAGCAGAACTGACCTCAAGGAATACAGGTGTTCCTGACGTTTGCCTAAGATACATGCTGCTATATATATGTTGTTATATGACATTGGGTTAGTATTCTCGCATTAACTGTAAACACATGCTTTGTTTTATGCCTGCTTTTACAGAAACATCTGCAAGAAATGACTTGCAGAGCCCAGTGATGCATTTGATGTGAGGAAATACA